GTTGGCGCCTGTAATCCCATCTACTCAGGAGGCTGAGGCAGGAGAATCGCTTGAAACTGGAAGGCGGAGGTTGCAGTGAACCGAGATTGCACCACTGCACTCCAGCCTGGACATCAGAGTGAGACTCTGTCTCAAAAAAAAAAAAAAAAAAAAAAAATCATCTAGGGAGCTATTTTAAAATTCACCTTTCTGACCCTTGTCCCCAGAGTCTCTGATTTGTAGGCATGAGTGGACCTGGGAATCTCCATCCCAGAATCCCAGATGATTCGTAGGTTCAGTATCATTTGTGTCCAATTGATTTTATAGTAAAAGAAGGGTTGTTGATCTCGTCTGTTAGATATAGGATGCGCAGGGATAGGAGAGCAATTAAGACTAAAATGATCGCGAGCAAGACCAGTTCAAATGGTTTCTATTTCTTGAGCGTCTGTAATACTGGTGTTGGTTAGTTTTGTTGTGAGGGTTGAGGATAGGACATATAAGACTAGAAAGCTGATTAAGGATACGATTATAAAAGTGTGATCATGAAAAGCGATTAATTCCTCTATAATAGGGGATGTGGCATCTTGTAGACCTAGTTGAACTGGGTGAGCCATATAAGATATATAGGGTTTAACCTATGACTTAGCTTTGACAAAGCTATGAAATAATTTTTCTAATATCTCATTGAAAAAGTTATACAGGTTATAGGGTTGGCTTGAAACCAGTTTTAGGAGGTTCGATTCCTTCCTTTTTCATCTAGTTTAATATAGGTTGGTTCTTCAAATGTGTGGTAGGGCAGAGGGCAACCATGCAGTCACTCCAGGTTAGTAGAAGGCTGCTCAATTAATAAGACTTTACATTTTGAGGCAAAGGCTTCTAGGTTATATGGATTATTAATATTACCACTACTAGGGAGATGAAGGAGCCTATAGATGATAGAAGATTTCATGTAGTATAGGCATCAGGATAATCAGAATAGCGTCGGGGTATTCTGGATAGGCCAAGAAAGTGTTGTGGGAAGAAAGTTAAATTTACACCTACAAATATAATGGCAAAGTGAGCTTTGGTCTAGAGTATAGCCTGAAAATAAGGGGAATCAATGAATAAAACCCCCCATGATGGCGAATACAGCTCCTATTGACAGGACATAGTGAAAGTGGGCTACAACATAGTATGTGTCGTGTAGTATGTGTCACTATGCTGTAAGAAACACCATTCTCACACAAACTTGATGAGTAGGTTTTAAAAACCTGACTTGCAGAGGCAGAGCCGCCGCCCTGCCGCGACTTTCAGACTCCGACCATGGCCTAGCGCCGGTGGCAGTGGGCGAGCGGCTGCTCCTGGAGGCCGGCGACGCGGCCTGGTTCCTTGAGCCTTGCAGGGCCTCCGGGGCCGCGAGCCGGCTCACAGGCGGTAGGAATTTGTTTTGTCTCAGATACCCTATTTCAGTCTTGTGAGGCATTTAACATCTGCCTGTCCAAATGTATATAGTATATCACGGGGTTATCACACAACCCTGGACAGTAAAACACACAGTGGTGAGAAATATACAGATCACCGATCCTTTCAAACTCGGTTGGAGAGACTTGAAAGGTCTGTATGAGGACATTAGAAAGGAACTGCTCATATCAACAACAGAACTTAAGGAAATGTTGAGTACTACTCTGATGGAAAAGGAAAAGCCTTTAGACCAGTTATTGGGGTGCTAATAGCCCGAGCATGTAATATTCATCATAACAACTCCCGATCCGATGTCGTTTTCACAAGCAGATTGCTGAGAAGGTTCTAGGCGGCGTCTCTTAAAAAGCATTGCTTTCTGTTAATTTGACCTGTGCAAGCCAGCCAGCGGGCCATAGCCTTAATTGCAGAAATGATCCACACTGCTTCACGATGACGTTATTGACGATGCATGTTCTCGAAGAGGAAAACACAGTTAATAAGATCTGGGGTGAAAAGAAGATACTTCTTTTGGTTTTTTAAAATCTTTCTTACCGAATTACAAGCTTTTTGGAACGCGTTTGCTTTTCAGATTTGTCTCATTAAAAAGTAAAATGTGCTTGCTCAAAAAACAAAACAAAACAAAAAAACCCTAATTGCAATTAAGTCTTTGTTTCTGCCGTCCTTATGATGACCTGGACAATTGTCCTATTACTAAATTTGCCCTTTTCCGTAAAACATTGACAGCCCCTAACCTGAATAGCACTCTGTTGGGTCTAAGCTTAAATTGTCTGCCCAAACCAATTTATACCAAAGTAGGAATTAGGTTTAAGTTCTCTTTTAGGACATTCGGATTATATATCCTAAGGTATTACAATACCTCTATTACACTTCTGTTTCTCGTTTGGAGAATTAACGTGGCAGCATTGTCTAATTTGATACCTGGAGGAGTCATGTCCACTTTCCCTATCGGCCTGTCAAACCCGTATTATTCATTCTTGACTCATCCTGTGACTTTGTGAAGCCTTTCTTGGTAAACCTATCCACAAGGAAGACCCTTTATGTCATCACCAGCCCTTGTGCATGTTTCAATTATAGTACCTATCATCTTGTACTGTGATTGCCTAATTTATTTTTGCATCTCCAGCTCTACATACAGTACCTGGCAAACAGCAGGTGCTCAATAACTGCGAAATGAACGAGTCCATGTGAAGAGACTAGGCCAGGAGTTTTAAAAACCAATGTTGACTGTGAAACAAAATACGGAAATGTCAAGGGCTAGTGTAAAAATAATCTCTAATAGCACAGAATCCTCCTAAAGGGAACACCTGTCCCACTTTCTCACGTTGCTTTCCAGGCTCTTCCGACACCCCAATTTCCCGCCCACTTTTCTCCCTCCGGGGGACAGGTCAGGCAGGTATCCCAGCTCGGCGGCTCTGATAGGTCGGCGATGATTTCATTGTTAGGGAACATCCGGGCCTTTCCCCTCCCCGCAATACCTCCCCAGAGCCCGGCCTTCCCAGTTTCCCACTCCCGCGTGCGCCCCACCCGCGGCTGAAGCAAAACAACTGCCTCTCCCCTGCCCACTTCTTGTCCTCGTCTGAGCCATCCCTTCCCGTCTACGCCGAAGAGAGGCGTTTATTTCCTCCAATAGGGGCCTAGGAGGACTTTCTTAGCCAATCAGTAGCCTAGCCCTTGCAATTCCGGGTGGGACCAAGCGTCCACACCTATAGCCGGACTGCTCGTTGGTCCCTTATGGCGCTTGATTTACGCAAGGCTTAGAGGTCAAATACAAGGGGGCACGGTCCTCACAGAACGTAAAGGATCCGTACAGACTCTCTGGGTTTGACCGTTTTCTAAGACGAACCAATCGCTTTTCAGATACCTCCCCGCCTTTTCCGCGTTCATTTGAAAAAAAGCCGGTGTGACGGACTTGGAAATTGGCTCAGTGACTGACCCGCAAAGAAAGCCAGTGACTGGGGGTTCGGACCACGATTTGGACCAATAAGAGAAGGCAATCGCTGGGGCCGGGGCTTTGCTAGGAGGAGCGCAGGTGGGCGTTATTTGATTGACGGCGGGCTCTACTTATGGCTGGTAGCGGGGGCTGGTCCCTGACGTTTGGGAGGTAGGACCTAGCGGAGGCGGGGCCGAATAAAGTAAATGGTAATAAAGGGTTGGGTCTCACTTAGTGGGCGGTGTTTGATGGACAGCTGACCTTGCCAATTGAAAGTAGCCACTGATGTCCAATGGGAAATTAGAAACTCAGAGGCGGGGCCGGGTGGGCGGGGTACACTAAGTACGGAGGTGCCGAGGGAGCAGCACTGGGAGGGGGAGCGGTAATTGACAAGACTCCCAGCAAACCAGAGGCCGCGACAGGGCGCGCGGCATCCCAGTGGGTGGGAGCTGGAGGCGGGGCTCCCTGAGGGGCGGGGAAGGACTAGGGTGCAGGGAGGGGGTTGCAGAAGGAGCCGAGCGGCTTCTGCTCAATGGCGGAAAAGCCGCCAGTGCTCTGACTGCCTCGTTCCCCTAGCAGTTGCGGGGGAGTTTCCTGCCGGCGCGGCTGGAGTCTCTGATTCTCAGGGTTAGGTGGTTGGAAGATGCTCCAGAGAGACGAGGCTGCGGCGGAGGAGGTGGCGGCGGCCGAGTCGGCAACGGCGCTGGGGTGGAGAGAAGGCAGCAGCGGCGGCGGCGGCGGCGTGAGGGGCCGGGCGGTGTAAACAGCCCCGTAGGCGGCGGAGGCGGTCGGTGGTCGAGACCCCGAGGGGGAAGCGGCGGCTGAGTCAGGGTCGCGCCTCCGTTGGAAACTTGGGTTGAGTACCGCGGCGGGCGCGAGCGAGGCGCCCTAGACATCTTCTCCCTCCCTTGCCTCAGGTAAGGCCGCCTGGCGCCCCGCCGGAGGGGAAGCGGCTGACTGGCCGGGCCGCCGAGGCCCCGAGCCCTGGGCAGGTTTTCGCGGTGCCGCCGAGCCGCGGCCGGGGCCTCTGTCCTTCCGAATCCTCGCTGCTTTCCCCGCGGAGCCTAGGCGGGGGAACGCCGTGCCTGGCTCTCGGGTAGGCCCCTTCCCCGGCCGCCGCCTCCGCTCAGCTGAGGACTGGGAGAGGCGCGGGGAGAGAATGGGAGTTTGCTCGAACGCCTGGACGCCAACTGATTCCCTTTTCCCTCTTCAGTCTTCAAGCATCTCTTTCACACGAAAGCGCTGGGGCTACCCCAAGCCTTGGCTCTTCTCTTCCTGGTGCATGCCCTCTTTGAAAACACTATCTTTTCCCTTTCATTTCCTCATCAGCTTCTGCCCTACTCTGCGCTCCACTTCACTTCCTTGTTAAATCGTCTTTCTCTGCTGTCTACGCGTTCTACCCTCGCCTTCCCTCCTTAGTGGCTTTAAATTGTGTTTCTCTTCTCATCGTACCCCCGGCATCTCTTGTCTGCCTTCCCTAGCACCATCCTTTTCAGATGTCATTCCTAACAGCGAAGTTACTAATTGAAACTGCCACTTATTTTCAGTACCCCAAATCTACCGGAGCCCCATTAAGAGTATAGACTGACAAGCCATAGATCAGTTTTTTTAATAGTTTAAGCCTAACAGCCTTAAAAAAAATTGTATTATTAAACGTAAAGTGTGAAAATAACACCTAAAATGATTTTTTAAATGAAGGACTCAGTGAGTGTTGGAAATAGTTATTTCTTCATTTTTTAAAAATTGCATGACCTCTCATGTCAGATTTAGCAGATCTAGGACGTTTGCCCATCTTATCTGGCAAAAAAAGTGCTTCCTAGGCATTTGATAGCAGCCCAAATTCATCAATATTCAATTTCTTCTAAAAACTTTTTTTAAAAAGAGACATTAATAACTAGGAAGCTGTTTTGATAAAGTCACAGTTAAAGAGCTTTTAAAATAGGCTCCACATGTTTAATGTATCAAAATAAAGTTGGCAGGCATGTTGTAAAAGGATTATTTAGGAATTTGAGTAGTCTTAGTGTTATGTAGCTATTTTAGGAAAAACATTCTTTTTCTGTTAACAAACGTTTACAACGACGGTGATGTGAGAATTACTGAGGCTTATTGTGGGATTAACACAGGAACTGTCTTTATTTGAGCTACTGCATGGATGAAGAAGTGGTAAATTGTTCAGGGTAGGCAGTGTAAGTCACAGTATGTTCTAGGAGATGGAGAAACATGCTATGGACACTGAATGTTAATAGATGTTATTTCATTTACTTTCTCTGTTGTGCAATAGCAAAGTTCCTATTGTTGGCCTACTTTTAAATAGAGCATTTCTAAGTAAATAGTGAGGCAAGTTATTCTAATTATTATGATAGTCTTTTCCAAGTGAACAGGCCTGTTAAAAATATAGCTGAAGTAATGGTAATTTTTTAAGGAAATGTTTTTGTAGGTCTGCCAAATGGACAGTGTGTTGTTCTAATCGAAATTTTAAAATTAAGTATTTAGAACAGAATATTTTAGTCAACAGATTTTCTTTCAGGGATAATCTTTATTTTGTGCTGCTTCTCTCAATGCCTTCTTTGTCTTTTTTTTTTTTTTCTTAATGATTGTTGTGTTTTCGCCTCTTCATTTGTTTTTGCTCTCATAAAGTCTTATAACAGTTTCTGCAGTGGTTATTGCTGTGTATTAGTATGCAGTAGTAGTTTTATTTGAGCTTTCATGCTTTAAGATTTCATACTTTAAGATATCCTCTGGATTTGTTGAAGTGATTATTCTCTTTGATGTGACCAGCAGAGCTTTCAACACTGTTTTCTTACACTGGGTGTCTGATTTCTGTGAAGACTCTAGGAATAGGTGAAAGGCCTTTCAGTTTAGTCATGTCAGTAAATACTGTTTTATGTTAGTAATTCACCTAATTACTAAATTCCTTAAGATTACATCATCTGAAGGAATGGTGTAGTGTCCAAGTAATTGTGCTTCTAAGAACAGCTGATTCACAGGTTGACAAGGTCAGAAAAAGTGGCTCTTGTTGAAAGTTATCTTTGCTATAACAAACATTTTTTTATGGAATCTTTTGAATTAAAATACGATGCTGATTATGTCTTGGCAGTCTTGGAATAGTAGAATTGGCCACAGTATCACTTAGTGATTGTGGTGATTTATTAAAAAGAGGCTATATAGGCCAGGTGCGGTGGCTCACGCCTGTAATCCCAGCACTTTGGGAGGCTGAGGCGGGTGGATCACTTGAGGTCTGGAGTTCGTAACCAGCCTGGCCAACATGGTAAAACCCCATCTCTACTGAAAATACAAAACTTAGCCGGGTGTGGTGGCGCATGCTTGTAATCCTATCTACTCAGGAGGCTGAGGCAGGAGAATCACTTGAACTCAGGAGGTGGAGGTTGCAGTGAGCCGAGATCGTGCCACTGCAGTCTAGCCTGGGTGACAGAGTAAGACTCTGTCTCAAAAAAAAAGAAAAAAAGGCTATATTTCATGAATATTTTTGTGTGTAACTATTTTAAAGTATTTTGTGACATTACTTAGCATAGAAAGTAGTTAAGTAGTATAATTCTAACTCTCACTTTTAAAAAATGCAGCATGTAGTATTTTATATTTTCTGTGAAATATGCCTTTCACAATTCACTGATTTTAATAAAAATTAGTCAGCAAACAAATAACCATGGCATCAGAATAACAAAAGTTTTTTAATCCAAAATTATAATAGCAAAATTTATTCAAGTAATAGCATAAAATGTGAAATCATGATTAATGGTAAGATAATTTTTGGGAGTATGATATTCCTGGATTTTCAGTTATTCTTCACATTGTACCTGATTCTTTTTGTTTTTCCCTTACTGAACTAATTTCAGAATTGGAATGAAATGGAATACTGCTATTTATATGAGCAGCTTTGAAGTTTTATTGTAAAATGTGTCTTACATATTATATTAGCAGAATTGATGGTTAAGAGTATGGACATTTCACTATCCTATACTTAAACATTGATGGTAAAATGGTTTTGGGAAATATTTAATTTTTGTAGTTTGTTTTGGCTGTCATAAAATTTGCAGAATGACAACTTTTTAGCTTCTAGTGGCTGATCTAACAAGAACAGGTGAAGAAAAAGATACGTGAGCTTCATAATCTGTATTTTTTCTTTGTTTTTGTTGGTGATGCTTACTTACATCAAAACATTGAGTTAAAAAATGGGCTTTCATCTTTTGGACTAATTTAAGTATGCTATTATCTTTGATTAGCCATTTTAGAATCTTTGCAAGTAAAATGTTTCTAGGCCAGGCACAGTGGCTCACTCCTCTCCCAACGTTTTGGGAGGCTGAGGCAGATGGATTGTTTGAGATCAGCCTGGGCGACATAGCAAGACCCTGTCTCTACAAAAAATAAAGTTAGCTGGGCGTGGTGGTGTGCACCTGTAGTTAGCTACTTGGGAGGCTGAGGTGGGAGGATCACTTGAGCCAGGGAGGTCAAAGCTGCAGCGAGGTGTGATTGCACCAGTTTACTCTAGCCTGGATGACAGAGTAAGACCATGCCTCTATTTTTAAAAAAATTCTGATGTGATTTAATCTCTTTGTGTCCATTTGATTTAAGATGATTGACACTTTGGAACATTTCCATCTATATTCCTTTTCTTAAAGACTACGTAGAAGACTAACAAGTGTGGCCAGGTGCGGTGACTCACGCCCGTAATCCCAGTACTTTGGGAGGCCAAGGCGGGCAGATCTCTTGAGACTAGCCTGGCCTGACCAACATGGTAAAACCCAGTCCCTACTACAAATACAGAAATTAGCCAGATGTACTGGCTGGCCAACAAAGACTGTTAGACCAGATAGTTGAATGAGCGTTATGATGAAAAGAACCCTTTACTAAATTATTGATGATGTTATGAAATTTTCCAAAAGCGTAATCTATATAGTGTACTTATTTTTCAGAGTATTTAAAGATTTTGAGAGTTAGTTTTTAGTAGCATATAACATCCTAGGAAACATAAATACTGTACGATAACTTACATACTTTTTTTCTTTTTTGTTTTCTTTTTTCATTTCTTTTTTGCCCCTCAAGATCTCACACTTTATAGTTTTCATTCAAATTACAGGGTGCTTTATTTCTCCCCTTCAGGCTAACTTTAATAACAACCATAAACCCTTTACTGAATTATGGTAAATCATGACACAAAAGAGTGCTTAAGTATATTTTTTCTTTTTGTTTTACTATAACTAACTTGTGATCACATCTACAATATCTTGTTATTGCTTGGCCTAACATACACCTTTTTAAGTAATACTCTTCATGGCCGGGCACAGTGGCTTATCCCTGTAATCCCAGTACTTTGGGAGCCCGAGGTTGGTGAATCACTTGAGGTCAGGAGTTCGAGACTAGCCTGGCCAACATGGTGAAACTGTGTCTCTACCAAAAAATAGAAAAATTAGCTGGGTGTGGTGGCACATGCCTGTAGTCCCAGCTACCCCGGAGGCTGTGGTGGAGAATTGCTTGTACCCAAGAGGTGGAGGTTGTAGTAAGCCAAGATCATGCCACTGCACTCCAGCCTGGACGACAGAGTGAGACCCTGTCTCAAAACAAAAATAATAATAATACTCTTCGTAATAACTTGTTTAACCACAAGAACCTTGTAGCTTAATCAATTGTAGTATTTTAATTTGTTAGTTCATATATTATACATTTGATGTGGTTTATAACATTTAAAACATATTTTACTAATTTAAAACTTTTGATTTATCACATAGTTTAATATTAAGTTGCTAAATGTAAAATGGATTCAAAGGTTTCTCTTGGAGAATGTTGAAGTATCATAAAGATTGTATTTTTTAGCTTTAAATTGATTCATTTCTTGAAAATTAAAAATCTTGAAGTTTAGAAACATAACACTTCTTGGGAAATTGTTTTGCATCCTTGTGAA